ACAATGTGTAGATGTGCATATTATCAGGATATTCCAATTCCTTTTATTTTTTCTGGGAATTTCCACACTTTTTTCACTTAGGTTTTTGACCATACCTTAAATATAAGAATGAACAGATTGTCAGCGCAACTACTCATAAACCGCTGCATAGTTTCGTAAATTTCAGCACTTCGAGTTTTGGGGGAGCATGGGGTATGTGAGCTTGCTCACCTATTCTTTTATTTGATTTGATGAGATTTGAGCATATTAGTCGTAATTTTTAATACGAGGTAAATACGAGGTAAATAAATTGACAAACAACTTGATGTACACAAAATAACAGCAGTATCGCTTAAAGTCATCACTTACTAAGTTATACTTTCGATTAAATGAGTCAGACCTTGTCAGCAACTACAATCTATCAATAAGTCAAATGCAGACTGGTTGTTTTCGTACTAAATTACTCACTGTACTCTCGAAAGATTTTCGGCGGGTGTGACCGGTCGGCAGGGAATGCACTCTTCTCCATGGCACCTGATCTCATCGCGCAGAGGTTTTAGCGTCAGCTCTTAAGTTGCAGCGTGTATTTTATTTGTCATTTCCCAATCTTTATCTTTAATTTATAATAACTTTGTTTCATTCATGTTTCAATCTGTAAATGAAAATGAAAAAAATAACTGCTGTTATTAAATTAAGAAAGAGGAATGCTATAGGAAACTTCAAACATTTTACTGCCTTCTCGTCAGACCAGACATCATCTGATCTCTTGATTACTTTTTATGCATGAAATAAGGTGCTAACGAATTGTATTGGGATTCCTTTGACAGATCGGGTGCAGAGCAAATATAGACCTCCAAATCGGATGGCATAGAGGAGAGAGCATGTGTGATCAGGTGCCATGGAAGAATGAGCATTCCCTATTGACCGGTCACATCCATCGGCTGTTCCTTGTCATCATTGGGGAAAACGGGGAAATCCTATAAAAATCAGTGTGTCTCAGGTCTTACTTCTTGTAAAATGAAATGTCACAATTCCTACAAAAATGGTTATTTTAAAAGAATAAAGTTTTTATGATAGAAAAGAATCAGACTATCAAAAGTTACACGTTTTATACCCTTTTAACATATTTGTAGAATTGATTTTTTGAGATCTGTATTCTTATCCTTATCATGATCTGTATCCTTATTCTTGCTTTTTTCCAAAAAAGGAAGTTTAAAAATCATCCAAGGCTTTCCCTGTTTTTTCAAAATTTCTATTTCTGAAAAAATCAATCTTATTTTAGAAAAGAAACCATTGCATTCATAATTTTGAGGTACCTTCAATTACAGCTTTGATTTTTTTTTTCTTTACTCTCATTTATCTGAGAATTGGAATGTGTGTCCGTGTTTCATGGAGAGCTTTATAATGGATAATGAAATAATGAATGAATAATTGATTATTGTCATCAAAATGATACTCAAACACCAAACTTCAAAAAAAAATTTCCAAAGCAAACAGTTTTTTAAATACTTTTATGATTTATGAGAAGTCATTTTTAAACAGGGTTTAGAATTCTTTTAGTTAGCTAGTTTATTGAATTTTCTCTCATTAATAATCAATTATTTCCATTACCTCCTAATAGAGATGTAATATTTATCAAGATGGCTATTCCTTTAATCAAATAAGTTCATTAGCAAACAAAATATGTCTAGATCTAGTAATTATTAAAATAATTCGGTGGTTAAACTCCTAATTCAAATCATGGGGTAGAACATTATAATGCACTTAACACTCCTTGACACACCACACGTAATTAATGCACATGTCCAAAATGAATGCCCTATATCATCTCTTCTCTAATGTTTACTCTAGAAAGACAGTTAGGGATTATATATTTGTTCACATCCGCATTACTTGTGTCAAGTCCTTTCGTATTGTATTATAATATTTGATCTTGACATTTGATGCAGTTTTGAGAAGCTTTAATCATTGTTGTCATTACTTCTATTTAATATTCAGTATTTTTTCAATATCTATTAAAATGGAATACACAAACAAGGAACATGTCACAAACAGTTGCATCCCAACCCTTAATTAAGACACCAAAAACAAGTATTTGAAATTTTCTTTTAATAAAAAATACATTGATGATATCTTATAAACAGCTGATGAAATTTATAAAGGGTGCATTCAAAGAATCTGGGTGGATTAGGCGAGTCATATGCCTACGCAAGGGCAAGTAAAATATCGATTAAATAAAATCTTGCATATTACACTTTTTGTTTAATTTTGGAGTTTTTTATAACCATATGCATACAGTAAAGATAAAACTTAAATCAAATGACTTACAAATTGATTGCAATTAACCCGCCAAAATGGTTATACGCTTTAGTAACCGTAAAAAAGATAAAAATGGAATGTTAAAACTATGTTTTTTATATAGAGTGGGTCTTTGTACCATTTTTTTGTAAACAAATATTCAAAGGGTATGGAAGAATGTATCTCTCACCATTTTCAAAAAAATGGTACTAAGACCCACTCTATATAAAAAAAGTTAGTTTACCTACTTAAATTTCGCAACATATTCTCAAAAACTCTAAGTCCAGTTGTGCGTTTGCTATACATATTGAACTGTTTGCTTTTCAAAGGGAAATGTGTGTGCGACTTCGTGGCTCAGTAGTCATAGAGGCGGAGTTGAAGCACCCAGTTACCAGTCTAGACGAACTCCAAAAACGGCGTTAACGGAAGTGAGAATTTCAGTCCAAAAAAGACTCCAAAAAACGAGTCCAACGCATGCGCAGTTATATAAAAAACGGTGAAAAGTCGTGAAAAGTGGGCTCTTATAAAAAGTGATTTTGCAAAAAATTGGATTACCTTACAATAATGTAAGTTCTCAGAAATGATTAATAATAAATGGTTTTAGAGAACGTATTTGTTAGAATTTTGATTTCATGTGCAAATAGTTTTTAATTTCAAGTCAAAGTTGACCAACTTCGAGGTTCAGCCAGACATCGTACAAGTAGGATACAAAATACAAATTAAACAGTCGTAATCTTATGAAAACATCTCTGTGGTTGATAATTTGTTTGTAGTGACTAAGTTAGTCATTTTAGAACTACTTTTACTGATTTTAGAGGGTTTTTTTGTAAGTAAGGAACGCAGGCGAATTTTCAGTTCGAATTTCCTCTGTCTTTCATGTCTATCGTGTACGAATGAATTTCAGCATGTTTAGATCAGCAATGAGCAACTGCATTGTAAATACATTTTACCAATAATTTAAAAAAGTACTGAATTGATGGTTTTAATCATAAATAAGAGTCGATCAGGTGACAGTTACATGAGAATCCATTCAGTTTCCACATTTCCTCCGAGGCTTTTTTGAAGAAAGTTCACGTTTTTCAGTTAGATCAAATACAAAGAAAAATAAACGTATGGGAATTAAATATATAATAAAAGGGGAAAATATTTAAAATTGAACAATGTAATATATATGTTGTAACTGTTAAACATTGACCGAATTTTTACCTATTTGTAATTATATTATTTCGTCATATAATCCTGTATGATATCTGAATATTGAGAGCGTAAGTTATCACCATCGCTATATACCTAATGATCTCACATATGAATAGATATAATCATGAAAACATTTTTAGAATTATAATCTATGAGTTTAAGAACATAAAAAAAATCATTCTTTTAAAATTACGGTAAAAAAGTCTTCTCAAATCGAACCTGTTAATATCTCTGCTCCGCCGCCAAAATTGTGCTGTTTTTCATAAAAAAAATATATATATATATACGATATATAAGTGCCTTAGCCCTTAGAAGTAAAATTTAAGCATCTTTATAGTAGGAATGGCATAAAATTTAAATCAAGGGGACAGTAAATTAAGTTAGAAAAATTAATTCTTACCGACTTTATTGAATCCCGGTGTCGTACGTATATCCCAAATCACTATTATGCAAGAATACAGAGCGATAAATAAGTCAATAACCACTAAATAATTTAATGGGTACAATTATTTATTCAACAAAAATTGAAATCCAGTCACAGTTTACTAAATACAGCCATTATTCAGTTGTATTTGTGGAGAAAGCGAACGACAATCAATCGTTTGTTTACATCGGAAGCCATTTTGCCGCAATGCATGACGGAGCTAAAGACTTCTTTTTTGGAGTTCACGCCGTTTTTGGAGTTCGTCTAGACTGGTTACCTGTCGCGAGTGTTCGAATCACGATTTTTTAAAGTTCAGGTTAAAATCAGATAAACATATTTTTTCACAAAAAACAAAATAAATAGATAAGATGCTGAATTTATTTACGGTCAATTAATGTTTTTCCTATAAAAAACAAGTTTTCAAGCTACATGTGTATATAACATTTAAAATGCATTTAGTTCAAGACTACATTACACGATTAAAATGTAAACAAATTCAATCATGGGTAGCCAGCGCGATATGACTGTTCTGTATGCAAAAACAGTTAAAAGGAAAGGTAAAGCGTACTATCTCCCAAACCCTGAAGACATAATTATTTGATAGAACAATCAACACGCAATATGAAAAGCATCACGTTAAAAATACTGTAAACGTATAGATATTGTCATTTGGACAGTGCTGTACAAATTTTAAATGTTTAGGTAAATCGTACAACTATGAAATTTCCGAAATGCTTACAGAGCGACAAAATCCGTGTGGGCATTTGACTCGCCTTATCCCCCCAGATTCTTTACATTTACATTAGCTATGATAATGTATTTCATATAGATATATACATGTAATTCTTTACTTGATAACCGTGATCTAGATGTTTAACGACACAAAAATAGTTACAATCTAGCATAATCAGAGGAAACACGAACTTAAACAACATCGGAGTAATATGGGTCGAGTTCGATGTCAGTCTCCGTTTTATCAATCATTTTTTTTTCAATATGTTTTTTTTTCTTTCAGCATCAAAATTTTTATTTTTTTCAAAATACTAATATCTATATATCAGTATATTAAGCTAAACAAATATTAAATTAACAATATTACAGTTCACAAATCTTTTTCACATATGAACTTTCTTGTCATCTCACATCTTGTGTCTCCCCATTTATAAGTACCATATGTTGCATCCCAGTCTAGAACTATACATCTCTCGGCGGTGTAGAGGTTTGGTTGACCTGGCCAGAAGTTGCTATAGGAAATAAGAGCATTGTCCGTACTCCATCTCCACACACCAAGTTGTGCGTGAGAAGTTGCTCCTAGGTACTGATTTTCATTCTTACCTATATTTAAAGAAAAAATTATTATTTCTTAGAAATTACATGGTTGATAAGATTTCTAAAACATAAAGTACAAAGTAGTTAGGAATATTTTTGCGGAAAAAATCAGTTAATGTACAGAGCAAATGGCAATTCCTTTGCACCAGTATATTATTTGTATTAAAACAGAATGCATGTTTTAATTTCATTCTGGGGATATTGGTAATATACAGCTGTATGTGCAACATTTTTAACAAGAATGTATACTCATTTAGATGAACTGCTTACCACCATTGCGCATCGATATTTGTTCAACAAGCCAATCATCTTCGTCTTTGGTGTCAATTTCAACCAGATATGCTCCGTTGTTAGTACAATAGGTCTGAAATAGAATCAAAAGGTATAAAAGATGGTTGAACATTTTAGAATTGTGGTTTAATTAGTTGTATTATGTTAATTATTCATTAAATATACTGCGACAGTAGAGATATTCTCATCAAATACAAAGCAAAAATAAAGGGTTCGTGACGATTAATTTTATTGAGTCAAAGTACATCGCGAAACGGACAAATAATTTTTGCTAGTTAAATAAAAAAAAAATAAGAACAAAAGTTACATGCATTTTACAGTGTTAGTGTAAGTTAATTTTAAGATAATTTGCAGAATGGTTTCCACAAAGTGTCACTTTTTTCTGACTTGTTTGTTACATAAATGATTATATAATGCTTCAAACAACCTTTGCCTCGTTCCAGTTTAAAAAGGTCTGCTCAAAGAGATAACAATGGTCCTGGTACCGCCTCCAACCGGTATGGCAACCTAAGAAAAATACAAACATTATTTAACATTTAGCAGAGTGTTGATTTCACTTTTAAAGAGATAACTGAAACGTGTTCATACATGCTTTTGATTCATAAAAAGGCTTCAAGTCCTTGTCAATTTGAACAAAATAATTAGATAATTCGTAGAACTGCAAAGTCCATATTTTCCTTTTGGAAGATCCAAAATAAGTGTCAGATAAAATAAATGAGATGCACAATGGCATAATGAAATAAAATGAATTGAAAGATTCATTAAATATTCGGTGGTATACAGTACAGGCAACGCGGATCCCGTATCCTCCGCGGTGTATTAATCCTTTCCGCGTTACACCGTCGCGGGTTTTGATCGCGGTGCTACCTGAGACCGTGTTTACACCGCGGCGGGGCCAGCTACCGTTATTCTTCAGCTAAGATGTTCTTACCTGTAAAGTATTGTCGATTTTTAATCGTGTCGAAATGAGGGGGGGGGGGGGGGGGGGGGGGAGGATTACGACCACATTAATATTAATAGATTTATACCATTACATAGATTCTTTAAAAACTCATTTTTAAGTTTTATCAAATTGTTTAATAAAAAACATCTTTTTTTTTTTTTACCAATGGTCACTCAAAATTAATTAATTCTCAAAAACGTCTGTTAACAGTAATACATGTACAGTATAGGATGAAATAAAGTCGTATAATTTATTGAATATATAAACTTAAAGTTTATTTTCAAAATCAATAATGCCACACCAAATGATCTTCAAATTGCTAAAAAGGTATAATTAAAATTTAAAGAATGCCATGATATCGCTTCTCTTTATATGCACTGTAATCCGGTGTTCACAATTAGCATGTGCAGTTGCAGTTACATGTAGCTATGTGTTTATTTATCTGCGAGATTATATCAGTCATTTGGTTTCATTTACAAAAGTACCGTTACTTCTGTATACATGTCTGTTATAAATAATAGCATGAAATAAGATGATAGATAGTGATACATAATTACAATTAAATTTTAACAAAGCACGCCTAAGTGTAGGAATACCGTTGCTCCATTATTATGCGTCACACTGTAAGACTATGAACTAAATATCGACGATTTTTTTGTGGGGGTGGGGGTGGGGGGTTCTTGTTAATAAAATAATCACAGGTATTTCTATTCAGAATATCAATAATATCATAGCTAGTATTTGAATGTATTTCTATTTTCTGCTCTTTTCGAAAATTACTAAAATCATGTTTATGAACATAAAAAAATTTCAGATTTTTCCGGTTCAAATAAAACACAAATATAAAAATCGGTCCCTAAAATATTCGAACACACAACACAGAAATTAACTTATTTTAATCATCAAGTTGCCATGCTTCAAGTTTTCAGATGTCTGTGTAACCGTTCGGTTTTCCTCAGGTAAGTTTGGTGTGGAGTGGAGCTTACTCGAAGTGGATGAGAAGCCCCGAGGGAACGACGCTGTCTAGTGTACATACTATCTATATACACAGGATGTTACCTGAGTGTATTACCTGTATGCGTTTTCCTACGACATTGTAAAACGAAGCCGTTTTTTTTTTCAGGTGTAGCTCATGAATTGAAATGCATGAAATAAAGAATGTTTTTGTTGCAGACAGAATCCTTTTTAAACTTTTTGTTTCAAATAAATATTTTCAATAATTCGACAATTTTAATATAGTTACTATAGTACTGTGTTTTTCTTAATCACATTTTATAACAAAAATACATTTTATTTTACCACCAAAATCTGTCGTTGTAATCTGGCGAAAAAAAAGGAAAGTAATTCAAAGGTACATATGCTAAACGAAAGAAGAAAGTGGATCATAAACAAGTCTCTCGATAAATAACAATAAAACTTAGACAAATTCGACAAATGGTCAATAAACTGATAAATCAGCGGTAGTTTTATTCGCTACACTAAAGAAATTGATATACTGATCAAAAAGGAGGAAAAACGATCATGCACGTGCCTTATAATATTGTGATATTTTTCTTCTCTCTCTCTCCGCTCTCTCTCTCTCTTTCAATCTTCTAACTGGTACAGATATAAACAGACACAAAATAACATAGGAATGGATCATTATTTGATTTAATTAATATCAAATACTTCATTAATTTGTTTTAAAAGTTTTTTTTTTACTTTTATTCTTTTTATACATTCCGTTTAAAAAAAAGCAACAACAATTTGATACAAATTCCAAGGCTAATATCGCATCTGAAAATGATATCGATGAAATAATAATGAAACAATGAATCAAACGTGTTGTTGAATGGCTAGACAACGATCGATGTGCACATCCAGCGAGCGTTACCCAAGGTATACTATAAGACAGGTGTGAAACCCCCAGGGCATGTCGTTTCCTGCTCAGGCACTGCTAATCCCTATACACAGGAAATGATCGCGTCTAATACTTAATACACAAATAAACAGAATTTGTCAAAGAAAACAAAAATATATGAATTTTTGCATTGAATATTTATTTATATAAACTATAATTTCGTCTGTGAAGTTTATCATTACACCTGCACATCCTATCTTATCTATTGAACACGAAAATCGAGAAATATTAAGATTGAAAAGAAAGACATTGTATTAAAAAGTTAAACATGTTAAGAGTCATTCTCTGTAAGAATCAAAGAATTTAGAAAAAAGTTGGAAATGGTACATCACAGATTTTGCTGATTTTTTGCATGCAATGTAGAAACACCATGTATAGAACATTTTTGGGGATAATTTTTTATTTTGAGTCCCGGTTGCCATGGTAACCAAAACCACCATTTTGAGGCCAAAAATACAGAGCAACCTACTGAAAGTATACAATCTTCATCATAAATTTCTATTTTCTTTATTTTATTTAGAGATTTGATTGTTGCCTACTCTGATAGAATATTTGTTGGAGTAACTACTACAACTGATGAAATTATTCAGTAGTTGGTCATAAAAGAGTTGTCTTTCAGTAAAAAGTGTGAATTTTTCAAATTTTAACAAATTTGAAAAAATGCCAATTTTTGGCATTTTCTAAGCGTAGTAGCAAGAAAACGCGGGCAATCCATAACAAACAACCACCATCACTAAAAAGGTCATTCCTTACTTAACAAAATATAAAATTTCTAGAGTGGTAATATTTCTTAAAATAAAATAAAACGAAAATGAAAACGGTTGCTATGGAGATTTTGGATTAATTTGAAGATTCAACATTTGGCTCCTTTTTGTACATTATAGCTTTAAAAAAATCAAAAGTAAAACAAATCACACTACTAAACCTCATAATTTTAAAATAAAATGATAAAAATGTAAGTTCATAAATTAAACAAAAATACTGTGTTACTATAGCAACCAAAAAGTCAGGAAAAATCACTGTAGCTATTGAAGTTTTCATTATGCAGAATCTGTGGCCTCAGTGCGTTATTTAATTTCTTCAATAAATAGATAACACTTTTTTTATATTTGTTAATTCACTTATGTACATTTTAAAAAAAATAATGAATAAAAATTCAAGCTCTAAAATCACATTGCTATGGTAATCAAACAGTTTTTGAGCACTTCCTTATAACGGTTGCTATCACAATTTTTGTGATACTGACAAGTATACAACTGATATCATAAAAGCTTCATTCATGATTTTTTCTCTTTTTCAATAAAATAAATTGAATTTAATTGTATTTTACTAAATATCAAAATACATGTAGTAATTAATAATTTAATTTTAAAAAATGGTTGCTATGGCAGCCAATAGTTCAGGAAAATCCTTATCATTGATATGTTTAATATACAAAATCTACTCCATTATTGCCTGATTATATTTCTTCCTCAATGAAATAAATTCCACAAACCGTGTAAACCTTGTCATTTCACTTAATATACATGAAAATAGACATTCATAATTAAAATAAACAGTTGCTATGGTAACCAAATAATTCAGGAATAATCCTAATAATTATTGATATACCAGTATACAAAACTCATAGAACTGCCACCAGTGTTTGATTATACTTTTAATTTATTTAGCGGGACAAAAAACAGATGAACTCAAACTTAAACTGATCACACTTATCTGAATTACTGTAGCAGGATTTGTTTCCATGGAAACAATAAATACCTACATAAAAACATGACCGATCTTTTGGAAGCAACTTGCTTTATTAATTGAAACATATTTACACATGTTTTAACCTGTACATGCACTTCTTAGTTTAAGTAGGACAAGCACATAGTCAAGAGTGCCCCCTCCCTCCTCGATTCAACTTGTTTTTGATGTTATTCAAATGATATTTTGCAGTTCCTATTATTATTATACCACCGCTACGAAGGAGAGGGCGGTATACTGATTTACCTTTGTGTGTCAGTCCGTTTGTCTGTCTGTCTGCCTGTGTGTGTATGTAGCAAATGTTTGGTTGCAGTTTTCTCAGGAACTCAGCTTTTCATTGAAGATGCTTGAAATTTTAGCACAGTGTTTGCTAAGGCATGCCATATGCATGGTGGGTAACACTTGAGGTTAAATCTGATGTCAACTTCCTGTTTATCCGCGTGTCAGACACTGTCTGTCTGTGCCATACATAAACAAGCATTCGGAGAGTATTGCATAATCAATACATTTCCCCTACCGGTTTTCCATTTTTGAAACTGAGTTTTTCTTCTGGATGTCATTTAATAATTTGCAAAAGTTATGTCCAAGGTAAAACTGCTTGATTTTGAGGTTGTGGATGCCTTAAATCTAATAAAATAATCCACATTAAGACAAAAATTCAACTCATTTTTCCAACGTCTTTTTCTTGCTTCATATTTATGTCGACCATCGGAAGTTAGCGCAGCATGAACCCGATCTCAATTAAACGAATGTGAAAAATTGAAAATGCCATTATTCTGTCAAAAACCAATGAAGTGAAGCGAAATTCAAACTTAATCTGTAACTCATCAAGATACACACACAAACCAAAATTCAGCTCAATATCTGCAAGCGTTTAGGAAAAAAGTGCGGAAAACCAAGTGGGACACACTGGCAGGCAGACGGGGACAGACAGACGGACGGACAGATAGACAGATGCAGGGGA